CACTGCTACTACCAGTAAAAAATAACTAATTTTCTGTAGCATCAGCATGGGGAGTCTGCAAAGCTGGTACCATGTACCTCTGTCCTGCAAGCAACAACTCATAGTCACCACACAGAGGGTGTGATACATGACTTAGAAGTGCCTGCCCTTTCCTTGAAAGTCTGAGTCATCTTACCGCTACTAGACCATCGGGACGCCAAATAACACTAAAGATACACCCCATTTATTTATTATAATGTGTGACCTTGGTAGTTTTCAACCTGGATCCTATTGTCACATGTCTGTGTCTAAGTTACTCTTGTGAGCAACAATTTTTGAAATTTGGTCTAGTATTGAACGAGCACTGCAGCCGACTGTGGTGAAACAGACTGCAGTGTACCCGGCAGGGAAATATGTACCTCGTCAATTTCTGTCCTCTAAAAGGTGCTTGTTTCTGCTGCCAACAGGCTCACAGTTATAATGGGTGTCTGACAACATTATGGAGAGGAGCATGCAGAGTAATTACCTTACACTTGTTCCATTAAGACAGTCATAATAACAATCTGAGCCTGTCAGTGGCTCTTTTAGTTTCCAACTGCAAGAAGTCACCTATAGTTAGATTTCAGAATGTCAGACCAGTGAAAGGTAAAGAAAAAAGTTTCATTTCTCTGTGGGGTACATAAATTTCTTAGACACTCATAATAACAATCTGAGCCAAAGGGGCAAAAACAAGCACTTTAAATGGATGTAAACTGATGGGGTGCACCCGCCCTGAGTGGTTACATTGCTGCCAGCTGCAGCACTCATTACTGGACCACTTTCAAACACTGTTGTTTTCAAAACACAAAAACATGGGGAAAAAGATTCCAAGCTGAAAAATTCAAAAGTTACCCTTTAATAATAAAAAAAAACAAAAACAAAAACAAAAAAAACTCAGCTGTTTTTACATTGAATTTTTACATTCAGTGCAGCTTCCTGTATCTGTCAAGTAGGCTTGGGCAGTATCTATTTTTTGTTTTATTTCTTCATACCTTCCTGGAATATCACTGGGGTATACAGTATGTAAGTGTACCTTTGTGCAGTGGTGCACACAAAACCATCAGTATCACTGTAATACCATCATACCACCCAAGGCTACCTTTATATTTCTGACACTTGGCGCTGTGGACACATTTAGGGTACTAAGACAAAAAAATATTGAGGTTTGAGTCCTAGATCTGTACACCAACAAATTCAAACTCAATTTCATACCAGGAAGTGTGTAGTGTATAATGGATTTATCAGAGCTTTTTACTGAAAACAATGACAGCAGCCTAAATTTGGTTAAAAAGCTCCATAATGCTCAGACACACTACAGTATTAGTAATAATTCTCTGTGGGTTCATCACTACCAGAGACATCTTTCACATTAAACATAGTTATTTGACCCATTGTAAAAATATTTTTCGATGCAATTTCAAACACAAGAAGAAATATCACACAGCATACGACAGCCTGGTTCCTAGCTGTGGGGATGTTTTGATCTGGACCACAGTGTTACAGTGACCGATTAACATTACCGTCGTCAGTCTCAACTCCCTCCTGCTAGTGGAAACACTCCACGTCACCCCTCTTAGATTAGATTAGATTAAATTCAACTGTATTGTCATTGCACAGAGTACAGGTACTGAGCCAACACAATTAAGTTCAGCATCTAACCAGACGCAGTAAAAAGCAGTAAAGTGCAGAGTAATGTACATATGTATGTCTAGTGGTGTAATAAATTATAAATATAGTATGATAAACAGTAAAGGGTGGAGAACACATCTACAATACTCTTTCAAAGGGGAATGCAGTTTAATAGCTCATAACAGCAAAGCCGTGTGGTTAGTTTTACCATGTGACACAGAAACTTTGCCTGGAGGCATGGTTGCTCTCTAACTGGTTTAAAAGGCACAAACGATTCTGTCCAAACAGTTCAGTACAGCCTGCTCCTGGCTCTCAGCATGCAGGTTTTAATCACTGCAGGGCAAAGTGTGCCACAACAGGACCAGATTCCTACTGCAGCACACTAATGCAACCCAGGTTGAATATGTCATGGGGGTGACAGTTACAATGTAAGGAGAGGAATAAAAATTGGCTACAATCAACTCCATTAAACTTGCTCATTACAATGAAACAAACACTTAAAGAGACGTCAGCTGCCCTGTGATAGCACTGTGTGCCTCTGGGGCTGGTACTTTTGGAAAGCTAAGTTCTGTTTATAAGGAGGAGTCCAATAGGAATAGTGTCAGAGCTGTGCCAAAAGGAGAATACTGGCATCACCACACAGACAACCACAATCTTCCGGTTTGAGAAGTCATGCTGACAACCTCAGGCACTTTACTTATTCAGGCTTTACAGAGACACTGGGGTTTGTTTTGGTGATGAGGCCAAATAGTTAATATATGCACATCAATTAACAGACTCCAAGCCAGGAATTCAACAATTACTGATTCTGATCACATCATAGCTTGCCACCTGTCCCAGACTTGTTTTACTTTTCTTTCCTTAGCTGCATGCTCAGAAAAGGACAGGACTGAGTGAGCTTAAAGGACATTTTCAAAGTTCATACATGTTATCCCTACAGTGTAAAGGCGGGGTTATACTTGTGCGTCAGCTCTATGCAGAGCCTACGCCGTAGCCTATGCACATGGCCTACGCTGTTGTGAGCATTTATACTTGTATGGTGTTGTGTCTGTGTCACTCTGCAGTTACACCTTCAAAACACTAGTCAGCGGTGGGGTTTCTTTGAAGTGCTGATAACCTCAGTTGATTCAAAACACACCCAAAACACACATTAAACATGGCTTAATAGGAACAATTTCAATTACAAGTACACATATCAGCTTCACTATAACTCGCAGCAGGATTCACAGACAAAGCACTTGCCGGACACATTTTCCCCACAAATACAACATGCTAATGTTATTAGCACAAGCCTATGACATTTTACATTGTATAAATTAGCCTAGTGGCTAGTGGAGATTTCCTATACTCATATGAAGCCAGGATAAATCGCACACAAGACTTAAAATGTTATTTTGTGGAGGCTTTATTTTCTTCACAATTTATTGTTTCTTATCTGTGAAATAAAAGTAAATAAAAGCTTTGTTTCCACTGAGGGAAATCGTTTTCAGCTTACAAAGATTTACAGGAGGTCCACGTAACGGGAAGTTACATTTCTGGGGAGGTGCACATCAGGCTACGACGCAGAAGTATAAATGCCACTTCCAAAAACATTAGTATATAAACAACTCTCCCAAATCCAAAAACTATGGCACTAGAACTTAAACTTGTGATGTTGTAGTATACAGTCTTGACCTGTGGCATCACAAGTTTGAGACTGACTTCTCAGGTTTCTGGCTTTGAGAGAGTAGCTCATGTTCACATCAAGTTCACAGCTGAACTTTCTTAGGCCATGGAAATCGTAATTTCGGCAGTGTTCTCCTTTAACTATTCTTCATATGGTCAGAATGGCTCTTAAACAGTGAAAACAATCTAAATGTGCCAAACATGTTGAGAATTTTGTAAAGTTTGTAAGCTCTGTATAGTGCCTATTTAGCTTATATATAAATATTAAAGTTATGCACTTGTCTAATTGTATCATAGTTTTTAACCACTGGGGAGGGACTTTCTAGTTCAGTTTAAGGCAGGGTTAGGCAACCTGCGGCTCTGAAGCCACATGTGCAAAATCTCAGTTGCAGTGGCTACAGTAGTATTAATATGTTTTGCGGCTCCAGATAAATTTTTTAAATTATTTTTGGTCAAATATGGCTCTTTTGATAGTGAAGGTTCTCGACCCCTGGACAAAGGAAGGGCATATAAATTTAAATGGTTGCATTTTGTATTTATTTCACTGCAGATTTTTGAAGACAACATGACATATGTTTTCTTTAAAAATCACCAAAATTACACCATTTGTCATAGCCAGAAACTGTAAAAACAGAATCTATTGTTGGATTGTCAAATTTCCGATAGTCCTTGGACACATCATGTGTGATGACGCTTCTGTCAGGAAAAAAAAAAAAACTTAACCAAATCTGAGCTTGAAATAGGGATATTAAATTAAAATCACTTTATCCTATGTCTTATTTGACCAAAAATAAATGCTTGCATGAACTAATCAACATGCATGACAAGAATGAAAAACTGTGGCTTTTTTCAGCTCCGGGATTTTGTCAACGTTTAACTTTCAAACATAACGGGTAAGTTTTAAAAATCTAATAACTGATTTATTGTAGAAGGAGGGTCATGCATTTTCCGCCAGTCACTCAGGCTGGCTCAAGGAAATCTAGCTGTTGCTTTAGGGAGGGTCAAAATACAAAACAACAAAAAAACGAAGTCACGCCCCAGCTACCCCCTTCCCCTAATAAGTAGGGAACAGTCCATTGTAATAAAGTGTGAAATGACATATTGTTTGAGGGTTAGCACCAGCAGCTTTGTTGTTAGTCATGTACCGGGTGAAGTAGCCTAACACTACAGTGGGGCGCCACCGGCTGTGTAGCTAAGCTAACCAGCTAGTAAGTTAACCGGCTATGCTAACCGGCTTGGTTGCCAGGCTAGACTGCTGCTAGCTACGGTCTGTCTGTATGACGTCGGCTAAGGGGTTTTCTTGAGCTCTGCCATATCGTAAAACGTAACGCTCACGGTGTGATAAACCCTGCCACCAAAGTTATTAAAAGACACTGACACTTCCTCTCACGCAAATGTGCTGTTAATAAGTTGTGTTCCTCACAGAAGTATGTCAGGAAGAGGAGTTTATGCGGCCTGCCCTCCGCCGGTAGAGCCCGACATAACCGAAACAGCAGCCCAACGTGAGTGAAGCTGCCTCGGCTCTCCTGTCGTAGCGGCGCCTCTAACAGACCAGCGGTAGTCGGACAGCTGTAGAAAGCTTGGGCTCAACTATGTCTCTTATGTCAACCAATATAAATAATGATTCAGGGCATAGCCTAGTTTATGGCGTTGGTTTAATTGGGATAACTGTTAGTCTGAATACTCACCCTGCCTAAGTGTTATTGGAGATTCCTCTGTAGGATGTTGAGAGAGAAGTATGCCTGAATGGGACAGTTACTCCGTCACAGCGAGCTGCCGTCTGTGGGACTCAGTAGCGGTTGTCCTCAGGAGACAACCGGCCTTTTCTCTCAGCTTATAAAGGTGCTGGCTACCTACTTACACCACAAACCACCATCTTACATTGAAAGGAGGAGAGAACAGGGGCAACTATACAACTCAGTGAGTCGGCGCAAATCGTCTTGATGTTACATGCAAGGAATGATGGGTATTGTAGTCTCTACCAGCAAAGCATTTCCACAACTAATGGCTAAAACGTTGTTGTTGCTATTAGTTTATCATACAAAGAATATTGCTTAAAATGGTATTAAAAAAAAATAATAAGAATGAATTTTAAAATGAATCACTTGACTTAACTGTTTTAAATATGTTACTGTCTTTTATGAAAAAGCACCATTTATAACAGCATAAAGTTTATGAATTGTAATTTTTGTTTTTATAATGTGGTACCATATTTAACCATGACTATTTACATTGTAGATTCTCACTGAAGGCATCAAAACTATGAATGAACACATGTGGAGTTATGTACTTAACAAAAAAAGGTGAAATAACTGAAAACATGTTTTATATTCTAGTTTCTTCAAAATAGCCACCCTTTGCTCTGATTACTGCTTTGCACACTCTTGGCATTCTCTCCATGAGCTTCAAGAGGTAGTCACCTGAAATGGTTTTCCAACAGTCTTGAAGGAGTTCCCAGAGGTGTTTAGCACTTGTTGGCCCCTTTGCCTTCACTCTGCGGTCCAGCTCACCCCAAACCATCTCGATTGGGTTCAGGTCCGGTGACTGTGGAGGCCAGGTCATCTGCCGCAGCACTCCATCACTCTCCTTCTTGGTCAAATAGCCCTTACACAGCCTGGAGGTGTGTTTGGGGTCATTGTCCTGTTGAAAAATAAATGATCGTCCAACTAAACGCAAACCGGATGGGATGGCATGTCGCTGCAGGATGCTGTGGTAGCCATGCTGGTTCAGTGTGCCTTCAATTTTGAATAAATCCCCAACAGTGTCACCAGCAAAACACCCCCACACCATCACACCTCCTCCTCCATGCTTCACAGTGGGAACCAGGCATGTGGAATACATCCGTTCACCTTTTCTGCGTCTCACAAAGACACGACGGTTGGAACCAAAGATCTCAAATTTGGACTCATCAGACCAAAGCACAGATTTCCACTGGTCTAATGTCCATTCCTTGTGTTTCTTGGCCCAAACAAATCTCTTCTGCTTGTTGCCTCTCCTTAGCAGTGGTTTCCTAGCAGCTATTTGACCATGAAGGCCTGATTCGCGCAGTCTCCTCTTAACAGTTGTTCTAGAGATGGGTCTGCTGCTAGAACTCTGTGTGGCATTCGTCTGGTCTCTGATCTGAGCTGCTGTTAACTTGCCATTTCTGAGGCTGGTGACTCGGATGAACTTATCCTCAGAAGCAGAGGTGACTCTTGGTCTTCCTTTCCTGGGTCGGTCCTCATGTGTGCCAGTTTGGTTGTAGCGCTTGATGGTTTTTGCGACTCCACTTGGGGACACGTTTAAAGTTTTTGCAATTTTCCGGACTGACTGACCTTCATTTCTTAAAGTAATGATGGCCACTCGTTTTTCTTTAGTTAGCTGATTGGTTCTTCCCATAATATGAATTTTAACAGTTGTCCAATAGGGCTGTCGGCTGTGTATTAACCTGACTTCTGCACAACACAGCTGATGGTCCCAACCCCATTGATAAAGCAAGAAATTCCACTAATTAACCCTGATAAGGCACACCTGTGAAGTGGAAACCATTTCAGGTGACTACCTCTTGAAGCTCATGGAGAGAATGCCAAGAGTGTGCAAAGCAGTAATCAGAGCAAAGGGTGGCTATTTTGAAGAAACTAGAATATAAAACATGTTTTCAGTTATTTCACCTTTTTTTGTTAAGTACATAACTCCACATGTGTTCATTCATAGTTTTGATGCCTTCAGTGAGAATCTACAATGTAAATAGTCATGAAAATAAAGAAAACGCATTGAATGAGAAGGTGTGTCCAAACTTTTGGCCTGTACTGTATATATATATTTATTATTATTTATTTTTTTTAAACATTTTGTCAACATCCTGGTATCTTTTCCTCTAAATGCTGCTGAGGTCATGTCTAAATGAATCTCAATAGCAGTAGCTAGTCTTGAACCTCAAAGCTACCTATGGACTCCACATCCAACAATGGTAAAAGTCTCGGAGGAAAACAGAGATATTGATAATGGGTGGAGAGATTCATTTGCTCTTACCAAATGTTGATTAATAGCTCACTGCTGACTAGCCACCCTGTGCTAAAACATAATAATGAATACTAATTTAGACCTATTGATAGGCTATTTTTAAGGCAATAGTCTGTGTTACCTTCATAAGACTCAAATATGTTCAGCAACTCTAGATAGATTTTTTTTTTTTTTCAATTTTTGGTCAAAAATGGCTCTTTTGATAGTAAAGGTTGCTGACCCCTGTGTTAGGCAATTTATTGTTTTTCAATAGGCTAGCTGTCCTTTTACCTCAAAACACAAACATAGCTACAGCTTTAATTTGAAGGAGTACATTGATTGTAAGGAACAAAACACTTAATGGGAACAAGCCTTCTCAAGTTTCGGGGAGACTCGTGGGTACCCACAGAAGAGAACCCATTTTCATTCAGATATGTTGAGATGAGAGTTCAGGGGACCCCTTTAAAATTGCCCTTGCCAGCTGTTTGCTTGCCAAAATTTAGCCTCACTTTGGAGCAATATTTAGCCCCAGCAAGCTATGCTGACATGGTTGATACCAGGGGCCCGTTTCACAAAGCAGGTTTAGTGAAAACTCAGAATCTGTTAACCCTGAAATGAGGGAAACTCTGAGTTTTCCGTTTCAAAAAGGGAGGTAACTCAAACCAGAGAAAGAGGGGTAACTCTAGCCTGTTTCAGAGAGAGAGGTAACTTAAGCGCTCGGTCAGTTACCATAGTAACAGACTCTATGAACCTAACCTGGTCGGGACCAGGTTTTTCTCAATGAACCTCGAGTTTCTCTCTGTCTCCGCCCTCTTTCAGAGCCACACACTCCATTTGATTTCCTCATTCATTCAGTCAGCAGACAAGTTTTGGCGTAGCCTAGTTCTGCCGTCTGTCATTTAAAAAAAATCATTTAAAAAATCAGAGTCAGTATATTAGAAGTCCATTAGGCACAGTAGGTGGCGACTTTTTTCACTAACATGGCATGTCCTTTTGATAACGATCCTGTGGACGAAGGTGCAGAATTACTGCACAGAGAATTAAATATTCGTCGGGAGATGGTTTCACGTCACAGTCCATCATCTACACAACCTAATCCGTCCTTACATTTGCAACATTACCAGTCATAGTCATGCTCTCACATCCCAGCAGATATTGTATGTTGCACTGTATTTCTTTGCAAATGGAAGTTTTTTGTACAATGTCGGAGATGCTGAGCACTTGAGTAGGCTAAGGCAACTGTATGCAGGGTGGTCAGAAAAGTGTGCTCGTTTTACGGGCATCTGTCTTCTTTCTGTTGGCTGAGTAGAAGTCTGTGTTAGTTTAAATTGGCTTAATTATTTAACAGAACATGATACAGATGAGAAGACATTTATGTGTGTGAAAACAGCATTATGTTGGGGTTAAAACAACTGCACTGTCAAACAGCCACTTAATATTTACTTTACAATGTAAAACATGATCAAAATGAGATACCTCTATGAGATTATGCCGAGGTCTTACCTGTTTGAACAATGTTTTTATATTTCATCCTAAACTGCTGCCAACGTGTGCAAACTCGCCGTATGAGCGCATTAAGATTTCTAATTCTAGTGGGGTGAAAAACGCAGCCCTCCTCGTCCCCGTTGTCATGGTGACTCGTCGAATCGGGGCTCCATTGATGCTGGCTTTTTTTAGTCGTGGTGCACGCGCTTAACTCCAGGTGAAACTACTCCGTGTTGATTAAACTGATTCAAATCAGCTGTTCTGGAACCGGAAACTCAGAGTTTCCTATCTCAGAGTAGATCAACTAAGAGTTCAGGATTAGACTCAGAGTTTGTTGAACCTGCTTTGTGAAACGGACCCCAGGTGGCCTAGTTTCACAAGGTACCACAACATTTGTGCTAGCTTTAAAATGTGCCACTCTTGTTTTCATCAGGAGAGGTCAGTAGGGAGGCCTGCAATTCAGGGTCAGTGGCCATGGACCTTTTTGCCACCCTTTGGGAGTGCCACTGATATAGAGCTGACAGCAATGGCATATACCACATACATTTATTTAACACACAGCTTCTCAATACAAATTACATTAGCAGCCATATGCAAGGAACCATGACAACCAAGTTTCAAATATGTACTCACATGAATTATGAACCCAAATATGCATTTTGTATCTAAGAAAATGCATGAAATCTTTTTAAATTATTTGTACAAAATATCTGCCAAAGACATCTATACAGCCTTTCTGATTCATTCCTTCATACTGGTGTGTGGTGTAGGGTAGCTCTACAAACAGTAGATGGAGACATTTGCTTACATTAAAAAATGCTCTAAACAGATGACACAAACACAAGGCCACAGAGCAGAACAAGTGATCCATTTCTCAGCAGGCAAAAGATGAAGCCAGTTGAATTAGTGAAACATTTGACACTGCTGAAGATCTGAATATTTCTATTTTGTTAGGCCTATATCTTTAAATGTCAGAAAATGATTCTATTTTTTGTTCAAGCTTTGTGCAAACCATTTTAACTCTGACTACACAGATACATCTTTAACTAGATTTTGACTTACTGAAATGCTTTTTGAAAAAGGTCCTGTTGGATAGACCTCTAATTACTGTACCTAATGACTTGTTTTTTTTTTTTAAGTTAAGTTGTACGAAAACCCTGATTAAAAGTAAATTTGTGTTGTCATCATAAAACTAATTTTGACCAGTTACAACAGAAATATACATAACTCCAATTCAGTAGCCTATATTTGGCTAATCAAAGGGGGATATCCTCAGTATTAAAGTAAATATCATTAACATATTTTGACAAACAAATAATAAGACTTAATTTTGAACCTTGTGTCAGGTCAAGACCAAAATGTGTTTTGAAAAACTACTGTACCAAAAGCTGGCACTGAATGTCTACTTAGATTTGTAATCTTATTTACTTATTCATGTGATATAAATAATAATGTTGGC